AGAAAAACATTTTAGAAATTATTCTCCATAATAAAAAAAAAGGAAAATGGGAAAAAAAGGAAGAAAAGAAATTTATATGTACTTATGCAGATGAGATGGTACTCTTATTGTTACGAGAGATTTTTGCTACCAGTGTTGTATAATTAATGCCGTGGCATGCAGACCATCGCAGCCTAAACAAATCAGTCTCGCTTCCTATTTCTAGGTTACGAAAAGGTATAACGTAAAAAAAGCGGAACGAAAATTGGTTGAGATGGACAAAACTTGCGTGTTAGTACAGAGAAAAATGTGAACATAAGGATTTGCGGATTTACATAAATGTACATATAAAAATAAACATAGGCTTAATTAAAGGGTAAATAAAAAAAAAGAAGAAAAAAAAAAAGCCGGAAAATCAGATAGTCCTCTAGCCACTAATTTGGCCGTAAAGATATTTCATGCCTTTTTTTTTTTTTTTCCAATTTTTCAAAAAAGATTTGAAATACATCAATTAGGCATATATATATTTTTTCTTTTTTCTGTTTATGCCATTTTGTAATGTATACTTTTCATCGGGCCTTCATATGTTACTTCACTTGTCATTTGCTGGTGGTTAATTGGTCGTTTATGGCTAAATCGGTTAATTTCTTAGTCGGTCAATTGGTCAGTGGGTCAACCGGTCCAGTGGGTCAATCGGTCAGTCGGGTAGTCACTGATTTATTTTTCCCGTGTTAAGCAATTCAGTGGGGCTTACCACAAATGAAGATTCTTTCCCCTTTCTAGCCGATTGCCCCATAAACAAATCAACACGTAAAAAGCTGTTCGCACTTACGACCATTTAAAATTGTACGAGTTATTTCATTTCCCATCCCTTCTATAAATTTCCTTAATCCTAAAATGTGGACTTATTGGTTTTTTCCCAAATAAGCACAACTTTTTTTGTAAATTGAGGAGCGCGGGGTTTCGAAGTTTATAACTGCATTTTCAGAGTCGGGGTGGGGGTGAGGTTGCCTGCTTCACACGTCACTCGTCATATTTGTGCAGTACATGCAAATTTACAGACATTTACATGTTTTCACGTTTCCATTTGCACGTTTTCATGTTTATACATTCGTTACATGCCTATCCACACTTCCATGTTCCATTTTCCTTTTGCTCTATGCACTATTTGGCATTTCCCCATAAATTCGAAAAAAAAAAAAAAGTTTCTTCAAAGAACGCGAACTCCTTTGGAAAAGTCGTAAACCAGGGGTGCAGAAAGTGGTGGGAAATTTGTGAAAAAAACGTGACACGAATTGGCAAAAAAAATGACACAAATTGGAAAACAAACGACACGAATTCGTACAAATTCGAAACGCAAGGGGCAGGGGAAAAAAAGTGTTTCCATAGGGGCTAAGTGGGACAAACACTTCCCAATTGACGCATTTAAATAATCAAGCAAAAATTAGGCGAACTTGTTTGACAAAGTCACAAAAAATGCAAACGCGCAAAAACACAAGGCGAAAAAGGTCAAACGAAAAAGGTAAAACGAAAAAGGAAAAACGCTAAATCAAACAAGCAACGTGAATGACGAAATCATAGAAAAATTGCGGAAAAAACGTGTAAACAAAGGGGCAGGAAAATTGGCGGGAAAATCGACGTTCCTGCTGTTTCTATGTTGGTATAATATGCATGTGCACATAGGGGAAACAGTGTATACACAAAAGGAGTAAAAAAAAAAATAAAAAAAAAACTAATTTACAAAAATGCCAACAGGGATGTACTACTAAAACATGTTCACATAGCATAGCATAACATATCAGCTTTTTGTACATTGAAAAATCTTGTAAAATCAAAAAAACAGAAACAATGTTGAGGGGGGACGAGGGAGAGTCCATCGCCTTTGCCATCATATTAAGGTATTTATGCCTGCGAGGGGAGTTAAAATGTTAACATGATGGGGCTAGCGAATCAGCAAATAGGTTGAAAGCACAAAATAGGATGTCAATCTTGCACACACAGGGATGAGGGTAAATAACGCAGCTGCGTCGTAGAGGCACATAAGTTTTACCAAACAGGAGGAGTACATTTTCAGGCGTAAATTTTGCAGACATTAAATTTGAATAGTTAACACCGTATGATTTGGACAGTTTGACATATGGGTGGTTCCTTCTGTTTTGGGACTTTTCCAATTTGATTTTCTTTTTCTCTGTCGAATGTTTTATCTCATTCGATGCTGTGAAGGGGGTGGGGTTGCAGCAAAGGTTGATATTTGTGTTAAGGCTATATCGCAAGTGCGTATATTCGCGTAGACTATGTGAGCGATAAACATGCATCTCTCTTTCTACACACACGTATATTGTGAACGTGTTTTTTGTTCCTTTTTTTTTTTCCTCGCGTGGTCAATATCAACAAGTATGCACACAATTGTTAGTGGCGGAGGAAGCAGGAGCAATTTTGACTGCCCCACTCTTATCTTGGTCGTTCTCCCCTCACCTTTGGAGCAATTGTAAAAATCGATGAGGTTATTACAAGACATGGAAACTAATAAGTTATTGTCATAACTGAAGTCGATACTTAAAATTTTGTCCTCATACAAATGTGAATCAGTGCCAAGTGGAACCCTGCCATTGGGGGGTGCTTCATTTCTTATATTTAGAAAATTTGCATCTAAGTACGCGTCAAACGGTTTGGACGTCTGGGTATAATCGGCATCATTGTGAGAAGCCTCCGCTGAAACAGCCATTTGGGGTTCCACGTCAATAAATTTATCCATTGCCAAATCGATTACATTGATGTTATTTGTGTAGCCACCTGGTTGCATAAAAGAAGTGGGGTAGAGAGTGAGGGGAAAAGGGGTACCCGTGATGGCTCACCACGTGGTCCTAACACAGTAAGTGTTACTCAATCGCATGATGTGCACGACTAAGAGGATCAATCAATCTTTCGATAAACGCGGAATGAAAGAAGGAAAAAAAAAAATACCTGCATATGATAGCAGCCTTCCATTTTTGGAAAAACTCAAGGAAGTAACTCCCTGGTTGCTTGGGTAGTTATTTTTGAATCTCTTGATAAAGGAATTTACTCTGACATCGTACAGGTGTACATAATTGTCTAACAGGAGGAAGGGTTAGGAAAAACGTGAATAAGACGTGGTAATGCCAATGGACGTTACGGCGGGCACACCTTCGGTCCCTCTGACTGAGCCTCAAACGGTGATGCGCTTACCGTAGTAGCCACAAGCCACAAGCGTGCTGTTATAGTGGTATTTGGAAACATTGGCAGGGCAGTTATACGTGTAAGTAATAAAAGGGTATGTTCTATTGGTGGAATAGATCCTCAAATTGCCATCATCCTCACTGGAGCAAAAAAAGTAGCCTAAAAAGGCCGTGTCCAGAGACCAGATGGGTGTGTGGCCACCCACATACTTGACATAATTTTTGTTACTTATGGTGCTGTATAAATATACATCCCCATTAACATTTCCTGACAGTAATATTTTATTCGATTCACCAAAACGTAAGCTCGTAACATTAAAAATGTTTCCATACAGTCTACAAATCCCATCATTTTCATTATCATAATCTAAGTCTATGGATGTGGCATTATTTTCGTCTAAATATTCATGTCTCCTTCTCATCGTATCGTTTATGTTAACTTCATTAATCTTCTCCATGCCTTTTTTTTTCTTTCTTATTTTGTTCATTTGGGACTGTTTGATGTTCCACAACTTGATTATGTTATTCGAATGCGCCGTGGCGACAAAGGATCCATCAAGGCCGGAAATTTCCGCACACGTCATGTCGCTACAATTGTTCAGGCAGTAATAGAGCATACTGGGCATTCTGTTTTTAGTCACTCTTAGTCTGTTCTTTTTTTGCACTTTCAATATATGTTTGTAGTAATAAAACACGTCACTGCTCTCGTTGGGCACGTAGTGATTTTCTTCCTTTTCACATCCCGGTTTCTTGCTCTCGTCCTGTAGTGTTCGAGGGGGAATGGCACAAGTGCCTCAATTAGCACGTGTGGGGTAACACAAGCATTTTGTCGCATAAACACTCGTACATTAATAGGGATATGCTTTCTGCCCTTCCACCCCTACGCATCCGCGGGGATGTCGTCTATTCCGCTCAGCTAGTACCTCAACAATTTCGTCCTTCGTCATATAAATAGGCGGCAAGGACCACATAACGGGAAAATCCAGCTTTGCGTTGTAGAGAAAGTTGGCCGAAACGAATGAATTGAAGAAGTTAAAATTCCTCTCATGGTCCTCGATTTCTACTATTCTAATTTTGGTCGTAATCAAATTGTACAGAGAAATGCCTCCGTACACGGTTAGGTACTGCCATAGGGACTTCTTTCCTAGCCTGAAGGGAAGGAGCGGAATGGATGATGGGCGTGTGCGCACAAGAAAGCGAAATGGCCAGTGAAAAGGACGTGTGGACACAAGAAGAGGGGGCCGTGAGTGAAAAAGGCGCCTGGAAATGAACAAACGGGGATAACACGAAAAATTTGCACACACTCCTTTCGCACACGGCGCGAACTCGCGAAACCTACTTGGTCATGTGAACGATGTGCTTGGCATTTTTCTCCTTAAAGCGAACAAGCGATATTTCGAACACCTGGCTCAAGTAAACACAGGTGGAGAGAAACTTTGTCACCGGTTCGTACGCAGAAAATTTGTTCAAATATTTTTTCTTAAAATCGGAAATGTGTCCATAACTGTTTGTTAATATGAGTATAAAAATTTCCAGCAACAAGCAGAAGGACACATTCTGTAGCTGGAGTTTTATTTGAATTAAATTATTTTCATACCAATTTATAAAATCATCAAAGAAAGTTATCAATTTTGATAAATCGAAGTTTTCTCTTTCTCCTTTTGGCTCTACTATCGCTTCATGGGAAACCGCAGAGCGTATAGTTACATTAATGTTTCTGTTAATATTATTTATTTTTTCCTTCAGTATGTCCAGGACGTCCCTATCTATATTTAAATTATTCAACAATGTGTCCAGGGGCATATTTTTCAATAATTCTAGATTATGCGGGGCATTATTTCTAAAGGTGAAGGGTGTTGGTGAATACGGCTTATTTTCCATGAGTCTGTCACTTATTGTTCTACTTCCCACATTGTCATTTTCGTCAATTACGTCCCCAAAAAGTTTGGTCAAGGCTATCAATTTCCGGTCGCTTTCCATTTGCTCAGGCGTAAGGGGTGTTATCCCTCTAGCGTAGAGGTCACTAAAATTTTTCTTCATTTTGGATGACCTGAAATCGTCTTCATTTAGGAAGTCCATTCGATTTAGGATACTTTTGTCCTTGCCCACGAACACGTTTGCTGCATTTTTATTCCGGTCGTAATTTGCGAAAAGAAAATTCCTTTTGTTATGCAGGTGGTTTTGATCCTTGATGTTGGCCGGCAAGTTCAGCGACGCGTTGAGAGACTCATTCGGCGATGCGTCTAGCGAGGCCTTTAGCGATGCATTCATAGGGGCACCGATTTGCATGCCCATGTGGATGTTCCTAATCATGCTTGCACTGGGGGTTACATTCATCCCTCTGCTGCTCATGTATCCATTCGCCGTGTGCAGCATGCTCTGCGTTGTGCTATTAAAAAGGCCTTGTTCGCTGCTCTCAGTTAAGTTGTACAGATAATTATTATAATCAAGATTTTTCTTTTTCCCCTTGAAATTTTGATCAAAGGGAAATAATCCTCCTTTGTCAATCTTAGTCATTTCGATATTTTTATACTTCCCCTTTTCTTCCTTTTTATCTCTTTTCTTTTTCCTCTTTTTCTCCTCAACTTGTTCCGTTTTTTTCAAATTTTCAGCATCACCTTTATGTTCTGTTTGTGCACTTTGGTTGTATGGCCCTAGCGTAACTGTTTCGTCTCCATTTATGGCATTGTTACCGCTACTCATGTTGTACATTCCAGTACTATAGGGAGTGCTACTGCCGATGGGGGATCTTTGCGCATCTCCTGTCAGATCGATCGTGTTGAAATTATTTTCATTCGATGGGTCCCCGTTAAAATGGGCGGAATTATTTCCTGACTTGTCGAAAGGAACACCATTGTTATTCATTTTCATTTCTTCATAAGCTCTAATTTTATTCATATTTATAGTAGCCCCTGTATTAGTACCATCATTATCATTTCCTTTTTTGTTAATTAAATCTGACTCCATTCTACTCATTGAGGGAGTCACATTTTTTGCTTGATCTGCTTCCTTCATAATTTTGCTGTGATCAGTGTACCCCTTTACTGAAGTATACTTGGCTTTGTTGTTATCTTTTAGATGATCTTTTAGAATATTCACTGGGTTTATAAAATGGGAAGCTTCCTTCGCATTTAGCTTCTCCTTATTCATGTGAAATTTATATCCATCCGCGTTGTCAATGTTGGTGGGGGCATTCGCGTGATTGTTACTACTTGGTATGACTCCGCTTGGAATTGGGCTATTGGACAAATGGCCCGTCTTCACGATCATCTTCTGCTTCTTGGGGTTAACCTTCTCAAAAGGCGATGGAGCCATGCTAGCGTTTTCGGGGGTGGGGCCCTTGTTCGGGTTATTCCCCTCGATTAAATTGTTGTATCTCATTTGTTTGTCTTCGTTCTCGTTTTGGTGTTCCTTTAAATTTTCCACATTTCTGTTGTACGCTTTGGAGTCTAATAGGATGTTCGATGGTGCGAAAAACGGTTTTGCACTGCTGGGAGGGTTTTCCGTCGGGTTGGCGCTTCCCTGATGGTTGTCGCTACTTCCGAGGTGACGGTTACTGACCCCATAAGGACCATAATTCGCCTGCTCGTTAAACAACATATTAATCGTTTTGTTCATGTGGCTGTATTCCGCGTCCTTCCCCTGGTTGTTGATCTTCGCGTCGCCCAAGACATCCGCGTGAAAGTTGCCTTTATCATTTGGGCTAAAGGTGAATACTTTATTCACATTTGTTTTGGCGCCCATAGGGTTTATATTCAAGGGGTTGTACATTGGGGGGCCGTCTAAACTTTTCAAATTTCTTGCATGGGCGGAGGCGTTGCTCATGCCGGTGCCACCGCTGGTGGGTCCACTGCTGTCCGCTCCCCCGCTGGCGGGGTTCCCAGAGCTCAAGCCACTCAACTGCTTAGACGAGATGTAAAAATTATCCTTTTCGCTCTTACCTAACAAATACTTATCCCTCTTATTATAAACATTTCCTAGATAATCTTTTTCCCTATATTGGGGCATAGCCCTGCTTTGACTGTCTTTTACATTGTTCATTTTGTTATTTAATGGGATCATATTGCTCTCCACATTTTTCATGTCTTTGACGCAAAATCTGTTCATGCTCGTTCCATCAGAATTCCGATAGTGCTTGCTATTCATATTGGTTTGCACAACCATTTTGTTACTATTAAATATATTAGCAAAATTCTCTGCATTTTTATTCGCGCCATTGCTATCCTGTGGAGGTTTCCCTACACTTTCCCCACCTACCAATTTATTATTCATTTCTATGTTGCTTTTCATCATGCTGTTATAATTCACATTGTTGTAATTATAGTTTAAATTGTTCATTATATTTTCCCTTAGATTATTATTACTTTTGCTGAAAACGCTGTTCATATTTCTGTTGGCATTTGCTATGTCCGAGCTACCCATTTTGATTCTGCTCTTCAAATTCATGTCCGTCTGCATATTCATATTACTGTTGCTGATGTTTATTTTGGAATTCAGGTTACTCATTTGGGGTTTCGCGCCGCTTCGCATGATACTAATGTTGCCATGACCCCCCGACAGTGTGTTCATCCCACTGGGTATGCTATTCATCCCGCTGGACATGCTGTTCATTCCACCGGGAATATTGCTCATACCGCCTGGCATGCCATTCGCATAGCCAGACATGCTGTGCTTCATATTGTTAGCCAAATTGTTGATGTTACTGGACATGTTCTTTAAATTCCCGTGCATCTTGCTGATATTTCCGTGCAGCTTCCCCATCCCGTTGACGTTGTTCATCCCACTGGCGTTGTTCATCCCACTGACGTTGCTCATCCCGCCTATGCTGGGGGGGACATTCCAGTTGCTGCCTACCATACCACTGGAGTTGTTTCTGATGTTGTTGTAGTTCTCGTTATTGTTGCCATTGTTTTTGCTGAAATTGTTATTCTTGTTATTATTCATGTTATTCTTGGGGTGGGGTTGACGTTCACCTTCACGTTAACGTTATGTGTGTTCTCGTGCTGTGGTGATGGAATGCTTCTTCTGCGAACGACTGAGATTGGGAAGGTGCGACAAATTGGGCAGGTCTAAAAAGTGATGTTTTTTATGGCTGACTCTGGCGCGAACATTTTTGACGCGAAGGTGTTTGGCGAGAACGTTTTTGGCGAGAACGTTTTTGACGCTGATTCTTTGCCAACCTCTTTTATCATCCGTTCCTCCTTCAATATGGTGTCCCCCTCTGCTACGTTTTAATTATTTTATTTTTGTTGCTAAGTATAATCACTATTTATTGTTACATATGCTTACTTATTTACATTGGCATACGTTCTTTTTTTTTTTTTGCGATGAATTGAAACGCCTGCCTTTTTGACAAATCATGATTTTCCGAGCCTTTCCAATTTTTTCCCAGTTTTGCCGAATGCTAATTATTTTTTTTCTCGTTGCTGCTTTATTTAATGTACGTCTGAACGGAATGCCTAGTCTCGGCCCCTCTCATCGTTTTACTCCAGCGAACAAATGGGCAATATATTTTTGCTTGCTGACTCGTGCCGCACGGCGTTCTCAAATATGATACGTGTGACCATGAAATCGGCAAGTTCAACAAAATATGGGATGTTTGCTAAAATTTATAAGCAGCGGGAGGGTGTTCACAGTTTTTGGCGAGCGGGAAGAACTGGAGCGTTTTTTCACCCCACTGTTAAGTTCCGCGAATTGAGCGAACTTTTGCAGTTTTCAAAAAATGCATCAAATTCGCCAATTCGCGATGTTTAGCCCCAATTGCAATGATCGTCTGATGCTTTCTTCCCCGCTTTTTTTTACGAATTATGCATCAGACCTTCTCTATGCATACATTTGCGTACGCTTATGTATAGTTACACGCACATGTATTTATGCGTATGGCCACAGTACATCTTAACATGCCCGCAAAGGTGTACGCATATCCACTTCAGATTGTAAGCAACTGAAATGGGAAAAAAAAAAAAAAAAAAAAACCGTGCTCAAAAGTTATACATAATTTTGCATGGCCTTATTTTTGTTTACCCCTAGGTTTTACATAAATTGTACTTCAGCAGATGGGCACCAAAAAATATCCCGCGCTTGTACGGAAAGGTATGTTGTAATATGTGTAAAAGAATTCCTTATATTGGTGGTGACCTTTGAAGAAAGTGAATATATTATCCGCATATGCTAAATCACATGTGATAACCTCCTTTGAAATTATTTTTTGACCCGCAAAAGTGATGTTTTGGAAATGAGATATTGCTTATTTTTTTTTTTTTTACTATTTTTCCAAGTTAAAAAGAAGTGTACGGTATATTACATAAATGCCCGGTTTCTTCGCAAGTTTTATCAAGATGAAATGTTTTTTTTTTTTTTTTATCATACATAAGAAGATATGCAGTAGTGAGCGACATTTGTTTCTCGCCTTCCCATAAAACCCTTATCAGTGCCGTAAATCGTTTGTAACAGTTCAAAGAGAGCAACAGAACAATTTTTTCGCAGTTGCGCAGGGGGGGCAAATGGTTATACGGGTTGTACTGCATATATACTGTGTATGCCAGATCGTGGTGAACAAAAAATTATGTGGATTATATAGGCATTTACATACTCCTACATCCACGTTGATTGTAAGATATCGGCAGTGAAAAAACCATAAGGATTAAAATATGTTCATGTCCGCCTCCCGCAAAGGACTGTGTAGGTCATTTTTAAAGGAATTTTACTTTATCATTTAGAAAAATAGGAGAAAAGAAAAAATTAAAAGGAAAGGAACGAAAAACAAAGCAGCGGTAAATATATGGCCAAACTTTTCAACCAATTAAATTTTTTTTTTCTGTGCAAATGCCATGGCAACTATGGACATATATTGTCTTAGGTGAAATATCATTTTCTTCTAGTTTTATTAATAACCATTTTGTGAAAGTAAAAAAAAGAAAAAAAAAAGGAAAGTCCACCGTTCATAGCAATGCGACGCTGAAGCACGCACATGAAATTAATACGTAAATTGGTTTTTTTTTTTTTTTTTTTATTTTATCACTGCTCTGTGTATGCGGCGTAGGCATAGAAAAACCACACAGCTTTTTTTTTTTGGGGAGGGCAGGGGCTTTCTTCCGCAAAGAAGCAAAAGGAAAAGGTCGCAAAAAGAAAAAAGAAAAGAGGTATGTCACGTAGCATTGTAGGCGAAAAATAAAATTAAAAAAATATAAGCACATCTGAACTTCTAACAAGTTGAAGCTACAACCGCGGGAAAGTGAAATGCCCACTTTTAAAAATAGCAAGAAAAAAAAAAAAGAAAATAATGACAACAATAACCTAATACAGAAAACTTTTCCCCATATTTATAGTTCCTTCCTTTCATTTTTGTGTACTTTATTTTGTTCACACCTGTGTTTTTCCTCTTTTGACCTTTTTCATTTTGAATGAAATAGAAGCGAAGGGAGAAAATAAGCGTGCTAGTGATTACGCGTTTGTGCTCGCTTTAAATTTTAAAGCAAATTCTTCCCCCTTCTGAAAGAAGAAAGGGAGATTATTATTCTCTAACGACATTTTATCTAAAATGAATTATCCCTAGAAGAGATGAAAAACAATGATTTTGATCGCCCCTATTGTTAAAAATGAACCTTTTTCTTTCCCTCCCCCTTTCGAATGGAAGGCACAAAGCACATTTCTGTATCCATGGGGAAGAAAAAAGGAAATGAAATAGCGCGTCGCACATATGTTGTGTACACATGTGGGTTTATAAACTTTTATCTTTCAGAAAAACGAAAGAAAACACAAGACCTTTAACATAACTTTTTCCTTTTCACAAAAGCACACCCAGCAATATGAATGCACATCTTCATCGTGTGACCACATACTCCATGTGCAGTATCCTCGACTTTTAAATACATCATCTAAATCAATGTTTCGCTAAATTGTGCACGCATTCGTGAATCCCTTCCACTGAACAAATGAAATGTACGTTTTTCTTGAATTTATATAACTGAATGACATTGAATCAGGCACATCTTTCCTGCAGCATTTGCTGAAAAGTTTTAGCTGCTTCTCACGGCACCAGGCAATTAATATGTGCGTTCTGTTTTCACAATTGCATTGCTTTTTTTTTCTTTTGTTTTATCGTTTAAAAACTTGCTGTGTATCACAAAGCAATGTATGTATGAAACGAAATAAAAAAAAAGATTAAAGAAAAAATAAAAAAATCTATACTGGGATTTATGTTACTGCACAGTGTAAAACAATATATCTTCGTACTGAATAACCGATTTGGTTACAAAAGAAGAAATTTCAATGTCGTCCGTGAAAAACCACATACGGATCTTCGTTTAATTTTTTTTTTTTTTTTTTTTTTTTTGTAACTTTATTTTTCCCTCACAATGGAAAGAATAAGAATGAGAAAATCATTTTTTGCAAGAAATGATTGTTTTTTTTCTGCTTTTTTTTGTTTGTTTTTTTCCAAAAAAAGGGCTATTTCTTTTTTAAAGTAGTCTCCAGAATTTTGAGTAAAATTAAATTTACTTTATATGGACGACGGAATGCACATTCGAAAAGGCTAATGTAAATTACACCCCCCAAACAAATGTGCATTATGCCTATCACCGAAATGGCTAGTGTATATTCGTGTAACACATTCCTTTTTTTTTTTTACTGCTATTTCCACGAAAGTTGTTTAAGTGCCCATATATTTCACTAGCCATTTTGTCAATTCAAAAATTTTCGCGCCATTCTATGGAAGTGCCTTAATATAGTTAGTGCACTTTGTGCCATTTTGCGTTAAAAAGTGTATGTGCAATAAAATCATGTTTCCACCTTTGGAAATAAAATACATTTCCATGTGTAAAAAAAAAAAAGGTGCTTCAAAATTGGGCTTTTGTGCTTAAATAAATTTCCCCTTTCCCTATAAAAATTAAATAAATGCATAAAAATATTCATTTCACGTGGGGTTGCTTAACAATACGGCATGTGCAAGGGAAAGCCAAAGGACAAATGGCTAAGGTTAAAAGGCGAAGGCCCATTCCTAAAAGCCATATGGTAAAGCCCGACTGGTAAGGGACGATTGGTGAAGGCCAAATGGTAAGTGCCAAATGGTGAAGGGAAAAAGGCAAGGGTCAGAAATCGAAAGTTGCAAATCGTAGTGGCTAGTCGAAATTAGCCAATCCATAGTCGCAAATTGAGTGTTGCAAAGTGAAAGTCGCATATGGAAAATCCCCTTCGTTTAACATAAAAAAAGAAACACTTTGCAAAGAAAAAAAAAAAAGTACAAAGGTGAATAATGCCACAGTAATTACACATATGCTTATGCATGCATAAATGCGTATTTAGGTATAGAGAGAAGAAATGTGTCTCATATATGGAAAATAAAAAAAAAAAATGTGTAAGCATGTAAGTACTACATTTTACCGTTAAACCAAATAGCCAAATTTGTATAAATTATTTATGTACAGCTAGCTTTTTTCTTTTTTTTTTTTTTTTTTTTTTATTTGGCTATTTAACTAGATAGCGATGGAAGCAACTTGTTTTTCAAGCGATGCTCAGTGCACTGGGGGGAAATTAATTTCGTTTATTGGAAATTAATAAGAGTTTTTCGTATCTCATACGGCTTAGCGAAGTTGTTAATTTTCCCAGCATTCTAAAAGCTTTTACTATTTTAACATTATATCTCATTTTTGTTTTTTAATTTTACACATATATTCGTGTTTACAAGAATATATACATATTCTCATATGCAAGTATGTACATTTGTGCGTAGCCTCTAAGTGCATAATGGAGTGCGTCGAATTTGCATACAATCACACGTTCCTTAAGTGTGAAAGTATTGATCCTGGTAGTTTCATTTGTGTGATTAGTTAAAATTAAAACATTTAATATTTCATGCACAAAGTTGTTTCCTTTTTTATGTTTTTTTGTTTTACTTAAAAAATATATATATTTTTTTTTTCATGAATGCATTCAGTTTTATTTGACTTTTATTTTTACATGCACTGATGGAAAATTTCTTGCAGGTTCCAAATAAAAGAAACGACAGCTGACTTCTTCATGTATATACTTTTTCCTTAATATTTATTTGTGACAGTTTCGATTTCATTTTGACAGCAAATGTTTGTTCTTTGGATAGCTTTTCGGATCGTATATTGCATATGTACGGGTATGCATATGCACGTTTTTTAATTTCTACGTAGACTGGCCTGCACGCATACCAATTTATGCGCTTATGAAGGTGCACTTATGTCATCTTGTGCGTATGACTACATGTACATGTGGAGAGTTTTGCGTGTAACGAGAGGAACATATATCAGCTTGTGCATACATTAACTCGTACATACCATATGCGTGGATGCCACTATATTAACCTCTACATGTATGAGCTCTTGCGTAAATTAGCCAGCATATGTATTAGCTCGCTTTCGTTTTCGTTCCTACGTGCATCGACCTGCACACGTATTTTCCTCCGCGCATATCGCTTTGTATATATATTGACATTTACTTATATTGCCCGGTGCGTATTTCCCCCAGCACATAAACTAGCTTGTTCGTATGTATGTTGACAGAAACGTGCATGAACTTGTGCATGTATGCATTTTTACATGCGTGCTTTGGTAGATATGCGCATAAGTGAATACACGTCATGTACAAGCCCCTATAAAAAGTGGTTCATGTATGTGCGAAAGAAGAGAAGTTTACCAGGCTTTAAAAGGCATCTCTGCAGTTGATGCTAAGGTGGATGCGCCGAGTGAAAACCAGAGTGCGCATGTTTTATGTATGTGTATAATTTTTTTTCTTTTTTTGGCTTTCTTTTTGGTTCACGCTATGGTTCATGTTTTGGTTGACCTTTTCGTTTACCTTTTTGCTCTTTTCAATTTTCCCTCCTTTTGTTTTACATTTTTAAACTTTCATTTTCGATAGGTGTTTTATTTGTGTACATCTTAATTTTTTTTTTTTTTTCATTAAGCATTCTGTGAGTTTTATTTGAAAAATTCTGTAGAGTGCCTATGATACTTGCAGTATATTTTTTTATGGTTAACACAAATAAATGTTTTTTTTTCCTCTCTTCTGGGTTGTTTATATATGTTGTTTGTTATGCTTGTCAAGAGAGAACATATTGTTTACATTCGATACATGCAATTTTTTGCCAAACATAAATGCATTCCCAAAGTTTAATGAAAAACGAGTTAATGAAAAATGAGTTCATAATTTCCTCCAAGAACTGAAGTTTATGTAGAGAGAGAGGAACATTTATATGACATGGTGTCACTGCATTTGTTACGTGGCCTTAATTTTTTCTCCCAATTTGTTAGGGAAATGCTTTGTCAGCTTGACACAGAAGTCATTTACCAATTTGTTATATCATATTCTTTTTCCAATTTGTTAACGAACTGTCGTGACAACTCGTCTACGATCTGCGCTTCCACTTTGTTGGCAAATTGCTTAGCTACTTTATTGGCGAATTGCGTTTCCAATTTTTTCATAAGTGTTTCACAAAATTGTTCGAGAAATTTTTTGGGAACCTCGTCACGGATTTTTTCCCCCATACAGTTTTCCTTAATTAACGATAATGTTGTGACTCACCCTTGTTTTCCATAGTCATTACTTAGTTTTTAATTTTTCGTGTTTCGCGGAAGAGTGAACACATTTACAAATGCACGCATGCGTTGGTGGTGCGTACATCCCGTATGCTAGATGTATTTTCTGCATTTTCCATCACCATGATCCATAATCGTTTTCAGATCATTCGTATGTAAGATCGTTTGTTTTCCATGCAACATTTAACACTGGATATGGTGCCTATCACGGTGTCTCGACGGTTCGCATCGTTTTGCATTATTCCCGTTCATTTTCGCTTTATTTCTTACGTTTAGTGCTATATGAGCGTCCCCTTTGTATGCTCACATATTAGCATCGCTTTGCACGCGTGCTTATATAATGGCATCATTTCCTGTTCTTTTCGCCATTTCGCTTTGTATTTAACCTATACGTTTCCTTACCAACCCATTAGTTTTGTTACTAACTCATGCGTTTCTTTTTTTTAACCATTTCTCACTGTTTCTAATCATTTTACATTACCCTGAGTCGTTTTCCTCTACCCCCAACCATTTCGCATCCTTTTCGATCCTATTTGTGTTATTTCGATCCAGTTCATGTCATTTTTAACCATTTCGAGCTATACCTAACCCATTTGTCATTCTTGAGTACTAGTTCTAGCCATTTCACAATTTTCGTAAAATTTTATTCTTTTTAGGGTTATTATGCAATTCTTAGAATAATTTTATAGCTTTTCGAATTTTTGATCACGTGCCTTATCGCCCGTGCATTACACAATGTACTCTCTCCAAGGTGCGCCTTGAAAACGTGTACATGGAAATCTGCTCTTGTGAGGATATGCATATGAATATGTGTACGCATGTGTATATATATATGTGTGTATATATATGTCTGTACGCATGTACGTATGTATATATGTATGTATATGTATCTTCGTTCTTGCGTATACCCCTGTGCGTGCATGCTTCTCCTTGTGCTTATTTTTTTTTATATTTTGAATTCCCACTAAATTCCCCACAAGCAAGTTATGTTACGTGTATGTATATAGAAAAGGGAGTCGGAAAAGAGTTTAAAAAAAAAAAAAAGAGTATGTAAAATTGTACATATTAATTGTATTCATCTACCGTGACACCACACGCACACATTCGTATAATCGTATGCATACGTGTATTCATGTGTACCTGTAAAGGCAGAAACGTGCGAGAGCTCAAATGAACATGTAAACGAATGTATGAATGTGACACTGCATAGATGTTCCACTGCATGGATGTTCCACTGCATGGATGTTCCACTGCATGGATGTTCCACTGAACGGATATACCACTGCATGAACGTACCAATGTGCATGCGTGTGGCCCTGCATATGCAAGCTTTTACAACTGTGTAAATGCTCTAATGCGTAAATTTATTTGTACATACATGAGCACAAATACTTACACGGGTGCGTGCGTGCTTATTTGTACGCGCATGCATGTGGGTCGTTTCTCCCCCCAGAGGAAGTGCATTTGCTAGTAATTTCTCCAGAGCGACATTTGCATTATTTGAGTTATTATATTATTACATGGATGCTAAGAAGCGGGTTGGAATTTGTTTCCAGAAAATACCCTTCGAAATTGTGAACGCGTCGGGGATAGGGCGAAACTAAAAAAAAAGGGGGGGGACTTTACTAATGCATATTTTTAGATAAAAAAAAAAGGCGAAAAAGAGAGAAGAAGAAAAAAAAAAGGCTTTATATCAATGAAACAACTGAATAAATTACTTCTTTTTAATTGTGAGTTACATTTAAAAAAGAAAAAAAGGACAAGAAAAAAGAGCAAATTAGTATAAGCATGCACAAATTGGCACTTCATATTAAGTAGACCTGCACGCAAGCAGTAAAAATTTTATTTTTTTTATTTTTCATTTTTGTTTTCTTTTTCTTTTCTATTTTAGTTTGTCAATTTCTTATTTTCCCTAAATATACATGCTCTATTTTGACGTTCTTTATTTTTGCCCCTTACCCCGCTTCTTGTGCCCTAGTTTTCTTTTTTTTTTTTTTCATAAGATGTATTTGTGTTTTTTGGTAATTCTGTAATATTCATATAGTTATTTGTTATTCATTTGTATTTTTCTAAGTTCTTTCTTTAATATTATAACTTTTTTTTTTTAATATTATTATTACTTTTTTTTTTAATATTATTACTTCTTTTTTTTTTAATATTATTACTTCTTTTTTTAATATTATTAATTCTTTCTTTAATATTATTACTTCTTTCTTTAATATCATTACTTCTTTCTTCTTTTTATTTTTCTGCCCCGAATACCCCCACCGTTATTAATTACTGCACGGCAAAGGGTCGAAAAAATGAACGGCATTACTTATTACGATACAAAAGATAACAACTCAAGTGACAACATGCATGATGATTTTTTAAACTACCCCAATTTTAAAAAATTCATTGACAGGAATAATAATAGTGATCATGAAAATTTCGAGGAGTCGAGAAAGTACATACACCGAGAAATAACGAAAACACTTAATGCGAATTCGGTGAAGGTATGCAGAAATATTGATGAGCGAATTTTGCCAGGAAGTAAGACTAATAAATTCTGCTTAAAAAGTATGGAAAATCAGAGTAACAAAAAGAACTTTTCCTATAGTCGTAAAAATGACTCTGACATCAAGGACAGTAGGAGCCTGAACAAGTTTGCACATTGCAGTAGTAATAGCAGTAGCGGTAGGAGGAACAACGAAGAGAGTGGCCTTAGAGATCAAACAGGGCAAAGCGGGAAGAGCAGTATTGGCCACTCAACCAACTGCAGAAGTATGAAAAATCTTGGCCATGCAAGAAATCACAGTGGAGTGAACAGTGTGAGCTATCCCAACAACGCCAGCAATCCAGGCAGCATCAGTGTGAACCATTTTGGTCATTTGAACCATCCCAGGAGCATGAACAGCCACCGTGCAGAGAGTTCAAAAGGGAATCTCGAAACAGATCCTCCTCCATCATCGCAATTTTTTCATGGCAACTATTCGAACGAGTTAAGTGATAATAATAACCAACATCAGCGTCCGATTAACTATTTGAAGAAAAGCGAAATGAACAATGAAGATATGGATCGAATAAACGAAGCATTATTATTAAAAGAAAAACAAAATTTAGTAAAACATGAATTTTTCTTGTCTCAACAAAGAAGTAACACTCCTCTCGAACAGGGAGATAACGAAGTCACACGAAATTTAGATAATTTTATGTTTTCAAATGAGGATAAGTTAGGTTATGTGCGAAGTAGCAGTATGAATAGCCATCCGTACGATTTAGTGAAAAGCAGTGACACTATGGAGGACGTTAAATTTAGTGCTTTTACCTCCAACGAGTTTGGCAGCATGGGAAGCAAGCCCCCCGGTTTGCTTCCTACAAAGGGGGAGGATATAAAGAAGAAAAAAGCAAAGGAAAAGGAAAGGGGCAAAGAAGAATTGAAGCATAAGGAAGGAGAAGAAAGGAAGGAGAGCGAAAAAGCGAAAGAGGGAGAAAAGACGAAAGACGACGAAAAGGCGAATGAAGGCGACAATGCAAAAGTAAACGAAAAGGGGAAAAAAGGAGAACATGAAAAGGTAAAAAAGGGTGAACAGGAAAAGACAAAAAAGGGAGAGTATGAAAACATAAGAAAAAGTGAACATGAAAACATTGCACATTTTATTAAGCAGAAAATTTTGGAAAATGCGAAAATGGAAAGGGGGTCATCTGGCGACCATTTCAAGGGTAGTGGATTTTTCCCCAACTCACATGCCAACAGTGCTGGGGTTGCCCTTGACAGCAACAGCAACAACAGCAGTACTAGCATGAACATTGGTCCCGTAGGTGGCGGCATGCACAATGGAATCTTGAGTGGCATCCACCATGGCAACCACCCGCATAGATACGAAGTAAAAAACCACATACCCGGGTTCCAGAGAAGAATGAGCGTAAAAAAGGACGCGGACAACTTTCGCCTATTGGAAAACGACCCAAACAAGTTCAAAAAGTACAATCACCTGAAAGACAACTTTCACCTGAATAACAGCCGGAGACACTTCTACCCAAACGTGGACCAAAGAAAAAATAACTCGGAGATGTTCCTAACCACCGATATTAATGACAAGGTGTATGAAAATAATATAATGTATGATGATTATTTTACCATTGAAAATATGGAAACTTGTGAAGAAAAAAAGGAGTTTTTTAAGAATGAGGGATATAGCAACAAAATGAAGAGAGAAGGCTCGTTCGAATTTCGCATGCACCCAAATTTTGGCACCAAGGAATTAATGACAAACAAAAAAAAATATTTTCATTTTGCTGAAAATAGGGATTTAGCTTCCAGCACGAACTACATGAAGAACCATTATTACAATGAAAGTAATATGAACGAGTTTTCCCTCGATGAGGTTGCTAGTCCGTATATTTTTCCTCGTAAGGACTATCTAGGCAACAACTTTAATGACGAAGTTTTAGGCATGGATGTGCATATGGAGAAAATGGAATACACTTCTTCCCTTTTAGGAGGAAGGGCAGGAGACCGATATTCTCCCCATGGCGCAAGGTTACCAAACGGTGTCATTGTCGCGCCACCCCTGATGTACCACAATTGCAACGGGTATGCAGGTGGCCAAAACAACCACAGTGCAGGTACCCATGCTGATTTTGAAAGTGGATCGACGCATGCAGATTTTGGAAATACTTCAGTCCAGGGGAATGTAGGAAGCACGACGGTGCATACCGATAACAATGGGCAGGAGGAAGAAAACGAGACGATCAGTACCCTGGTGAATGAATTTACGCTAAAAAGGGAAGAAAATTATTATCAAAATAGGAGCGAGATGAGACGCGCAAATGAGATGAATAAAACCAAGAGCGTTAACATCGCTGATGTAAGCATCGTTTTTAACTCGAACAGCTGTAGCCTCAGTAATGGGAATGACACGGACATGAACAATAACAGTAATGTTAGTACTAGCATTATCCCGGGAAAAGCCGCCAAGCGTTCGAATCCAAGCATGTTCAGCACATACGATATGGTTTCTCTAAAAGATGGCATTCCCAACGGCGTGCATGGGGGGCACATTAGCGGCAGCGTTGGTGAGAGTGGTATCCGCGGGAATAATCACCAGCAGACTGAAAAGAACAGGATCTGGAACGGGGTGGATAACGGAATCGATAATGGAATGGAAAACGGAATAGAAAAAGGAATCGAGAAAGTAATCGAGAACGTAATCGAGAATGGAATCGAAAACGGAATCGAGAACGAGAATGAAGAGTCTGTCATAAAATTATTTTTCGGAAACCTTGCCCCGATCACCACGGAAAAGGATATGCATAACCTCTTCAGTAATTTTGGCAAGTGCGACTCTTTGATCATATTAAAAGATAGGAGGAGCAAGTCCAGGGGCTCGGGATTCGTCACCTTTTATAATATGCAGGAAGCAGTCAACGCGATCAAAAATTTAAATAATAAAATTATTTTGTCGGGGGCTCACAAACCGCTGGAAGTTCGATTCCCTGAGAATAAAGAAGAGAAAAAACTAAGAACCAAACTGTTAAATGCGGCAAAATGGAAAGGCAAGAAAATTGCCCCCAGTGGATGTTTGCCGATAAGTACGGAGGATATATTAAATCAGAGCACTTTACATCTGAATAATGGCCCAGGAGGAAGCCCCGGGGGGAATCACCACGTCCCTTTTCTAAACCCGATGGAAACATCCTCGTACTTTTTAACGGAGAATGACGGTGATTTGTATGACATTAAGGAAACCGTCAGCTTTGGTTTCACGAGTGGGGATATGATGGAGCGCGCGAATGCGAACCATTATGCCTGTTCAGAGGACTTTTCCGAACTCATAAACGCACCTAGCGAAACAACCAACAACACGGTGCTTACAGATTATGTCAATCGAGTAGAAGAAAGCAGCAACATGTGCAGTAGTAGCCGACAGAATTCGTACAAAAAGGGGCAGGACAATTTCCCTGATGATATGAGCAATATGAGTTTGTCCAAGCAGAAGAAGGAGTACATGCAGTTTCTGCCCAATTTTCTATTAGATAATAACCCCCATGGAGATGTAGCATCGAATTCGTTTCAATCGCTTGATGAGACTCTTGACAACATCCCAAAAATTTCTATTAATTCAGATATGGAAGAGGTAAACGTGCGTTCGAATGGATTTCCAGGAGCATTAGAGGTGAATGGGGGGTTGGGTAGCAAGGTGGTCCACGAAGTAGTGCATGATAAGGTGCCTAGCCTGTGGAGCGAGTCGAGCACCATGGAAGAGGACACCACTTGTCGTCATGATAGCATTGGTTCCGCGAAAAGTTTCCGCAAGGGGGACGTCCAGAACGCAAGTGTTGCGAAGGGGAGTAATTTCAGCGCAAACGGCTTCATGGAGGATAGCTTCTCCGCATGTGTCTTCTCCAGGAGTGGCTTCCCCTCCAGCAATTTCCCCCCGAGCAGCTTCAACTCTAGCGGGGGAGTTATTGACGAGAGGGACGAGGCCAATTCGTACTTCTCCAGCTTCTGTCACGCCTTCCCAGTACAGAGTAGTAACATAATAGAACACCCAAACAACACGTTTTTCTCCTACCTGAACAAAGACAAAAGTTTGGCAAACCATAACAAGGGAAAGAAAGAAGTCTCCCATCACAAGATGGACTTTTGTGGGAAGGGAGGAAATTTCCCTGGAATAAACGAGTTGGAAGAAATAAACCACTTTCGGCAGCTGACTGAATCGAAAGAGGTGAGCGAGGCGTATCAACGGGGAAGGGGCGAAAGTGACATGTGCAATGTGTTGTTGCGTGGATCAGGAGAGATAACGGAGGTAGGAAAGGAGGAGAATCTTCTGAGCGCCATTTATCAAGGCAACAAAGGCATGGCCTCTCCGCCGATGAATGATGATGGGTATAATAACATGAACGTACATTATCTAGGATTCGATTTGTCCCGCCTGATACAGATAAATGAAGACATATTGTTACCCCGGAAGGAGGATATGAAGAGCAGCAATCAGAACAGCAACAACAGAAACAGCGACAAAACCAATTCCAATGTGGGTTTTACTAGCCACGAAGTGAAGGATGCTGCCCACCTAAATGGAAAGGAATTAATGGCAAGTGATTTTTATCAACACGGGGGAAGGAGGACCAGCAGTAGTAGTAGCAGTAGTAATGATGGTAACCACATGAACAAACTCAACGTTGGGCATGCGCATGGAACCATGGATCTACTAAATGATGACTTGTTTGGTAATAAGAATTTTGACGTAAATGATAACTTAAGCGATGAAATGCTACAAAATTTAATAAGCCTTTATGCACAAAATAAATCCTCCATGATCACTTCCCACATGTTCAGCTACTTTAATAATGTCTTGTGCGAGATAAACAGTGCCCTGGACATTTTTAACAAGTTCAGTATCAAGACGTCGATGAAGAATATAGCGGAGGAGGAGAGTCTTCCTGAGTGACGAAGTGGGGAAGTGTATACAGTCGGTGAAGGGGCGAAGCGGTACAACTGCGTAGCGGGTGATGATGACTCCCCGATTCACACCCCCAGGAATCATTTATTTTTTTCTTTATTTTTTACTCCAAGATGAGAAATTATAAGTAAACTGATATACACGTGCACATATGCATACAATGTGTACGTGTGTTGTGTGTGTTTGTGTATGTTTGTGTATGTTCTTCAACGCATGGGCGCTGATAGGCAAGAGGAAGACGCTGGGAGTTCCTGGGACAAACCCACACGTCAGCATATTATCTCCCTCTCCTTCGCCTCGTTTTTCATTTTTGTATGATGGGAATGATACTTTGTGATGGCTAAACAGGACGCATGCACCAAACGGCTGTTCTGATTTTGCAAAAAAAACAAAAAGCAAACAAGGAACAAGAATTAACTGATAAATCTGTACTCACATTCAAAAGTATACATAGACGCACATGCCATGTATACAAAGGTGTACCATGTGAGTAATTTAAAAAAAAAACAAATAAATGATGACACCTGCTTCTTAACCATATGGGGATGATTCTATACAAGTGCGCACGATATTTCACCAAGAAGTTGATCAAAACTTCGGTTCTCAGCATATGCGCGTTAAATGGAAAAGTGTTACAAAAAATAGAAAAAAAAAAAAAATAATAAAATAAAATAACATTTTTTTATACCACACTTTACTGGAAAGTGTAATTTCTTTTGTTTTTTTTCTTCATCTGTGCGTGACCCCAACTGCTCACACTGGAACGCATTTATGTACCAAGGCAATTTTCAGAAATCTCCTTTTACATGTTTTTTCTTATTTATGTGTTTATCACCATTTGCATCTAAAAACGTGCATACAGTGGAGATGCTTATGCATAAGCTCAAGTGATCCACTCTTCCCTTGATGACGTTACTGCTGAAGGTTAATGTATTTCAGCGAATGAAACACAAGCGGGAGTAAGATAAAACAGAAGAAAAAAAGAACAGGAGAGGACGATAGGACAACAGAATCATAGGGAGACGGGTGACACAAGAGAGTTATATAATACTGAAGGAATGTAATCCCACTGTTTTTTTTTTTTTTTTTTTTTACCTTTCCAAACTCTTTACGCCATAGGCATGCATATACACACACATAAATAGCACACTTAATGCTTTATTTGTAAAGACAGAAAAAACATGCCTTCTGCGTTCAATGAGAGAGAAAAAGAAACAAAAAAAATCACAAAGAATGACAGAGTTTGATATTAAACAGATAAGAGAAGTTTCTTCTCATTTCATAACAGCAAATTATGAGACTTACACATTTGTTTGAATGATTACATAAATTAGGATGCACTCTCTTCAGCGATCATTTTTTTATTTTTCCTCATTTTTTTCTTATTCCCGATTTGATTTATCATTTTATTCCTTATTCTATTCATTATTTTATTTCATTCTATCAAATTCTTTGCCCTGTGGAAGTGGGGTTAATTACAACATACTGCCGTGTCATCTACATTTTTCTGTTATTCAGTCACTCAGTTATTTCATTTCGCTCTTTTCTCTCTTTTCGCTTTTTTTACTTTTTTGGCTCCTTTTCACCTATTTTTTTCCTTAATTTTACCCCAAACTTGTAATATAAAATTGTTGAAATATACATTGTGCCATTTTTGGTTTAAAGGAGATCGGCCACACGGCGGAAAGCATAATCGCATGCATGCACTGTGTGTATCCATATTCAGCCATGGGCGTTTAAACCTGGGCTGTTCTCACATGCACAGAATGTACGTGTGTATGCCGGGGTGATCTGTTCATTTGTAAATTTAGGAAAGGGAAAAAGTCTCGATGCTGTCCTTTCAAAGGGGTGAACAAAAGTTTTTTTTTTTTTTTTTTTAAGTGTTTTGCACAGCAGGTGCATCTAATGAGTCAAAGTCCGAGCAAATGTAGATATAAACGGTTTTAAGAAAAGAAAAAAAAAAAAGTCAAACGGAGTCAAATGGGGCGAAACTACAGATGGAAAATCCACACTACGCATCCTCCTCTGTATATGGCTCAGCGCGGTGGACTGCCACCAGAAAGTGCACAGCTATCCCTCCTTCATATCGCAGAGGTAGATAATTGAAGAGTGAAATATCGTGAAGACAAATGATAATTTATCAATTTTTTCGGACGCCTTTAAGTTATCTATATACATGTGCAAGTGAATGGAGTGGCTAATTATGTTTTGTATTTGACCAAACGAAATTGCTGCCACGAGAATTGAAATCAGGCTGTCACTGTTAATGTCGTAAATTGCTAAGTTTTGTCTCTTCAGGTTCTCATTTGTGCATGAAATGATTTCGCATATTATTTTGCTGATGTTATCTAGGATGTATATTTTGTCGATTGGGTTGTTGCACTTTTCAATCTGCGGAGGAGGGGCACACACGGGAGTAATCGTGAAGGTGCGCAAATGGTGCAATTATATAATTGCGCATGCGCAGGATGTACAAACGATGCAGCAAATGAACATGCAGAGAGTGGTGTACACAGGTCGGCGTCTCAAGCGTTGAAATATGCACCGTCTCATATTTATCTGCTCGCTCGTTCGTTCATTTATTTTTTGCCGGCCCGGTGTTCCTAACCTGCTTGACGTGAAAGGCAGTCGTTTCCACTTGGAATAGGCTGATGCTTCCTAGATTTAACTTCTTTAAGAATCCGCTAATGTCCTTCCTCAGGTAATTCATTTTTTCTTGAACCCTGTGTTCTATTTGTTGGCAATTTTTAGTTAGCTCTTTCCATATAATGTTATACAGATAGGAATAGATATACTTGATTAGTGGCATCTTTATGTCACTTTTAAAGGTCTTCTCATTTGCGTTGCTTTGTAATTTCAGTGTGTCCTCTACCATATTGATGATTTTTTTTCCAATACAGTTTTCGAACCCCTTGACGATAATGTACGAGTGGGAAAATTGCAAAAGTTGTGTGTATAGAAATTCGCGGCAGTTTCCGTTTTTGTTAAAAAATTGCGTTACCTCGTGTTTGCATTTCATCGCATTCGGTTGCCCCCCCGCGGGATTACTGAACTGGTGATTCACCTGCCCATCGGCCTGTCCATCGGCTGGCCCATCTTCATCATTAATATAACTGACGCGTGCACTATCGTCGTATCCTCCTCCCAATGGAATGTTAATAAAAATAATTTTCAAAAATCTATAATTGGCATTCGTTTCTATTTTCAAAATTTCGCAGATCCTATTCTCCTCAAATCCGTACCCTGTGCAAACATACTTCGCGTCCATTTCGATGGACTGCCCGGCCAAATTTATGTATACATTTTTTAAGTGGCTCTTGCAGCATATATGTCTTTTCATAAAATCTATATCTATGCGGATATTTACCAGGGTGTTTGCTTCGGGGAGTAGAATTATGTGCGTCCTACTGGACAAGTTCTCATGGAAGGGTTTATACTTGCTCCCCAGGATGCTCAGCACGGGGTGAACTCTAGTGGGTTCCATTTGGGTGGCCTTTTCCTCAGGTGAGGCTGCTTCGTGGCAGCAGGCGGGTATTCGGAGGTATTAGCGCTTTTAATCAGGTATTGCTACGACGGTATTGGGGGGTTTATGCACGTATTCTGGCTTTATGCGGCTTTATTCTGTTTTACTCAGCTTAACTGAGCTTTGCGTCACCTTGCATGGTGCCCTGTCTGGTGAGTAACACTTCAGCAGGGGGCGTCACTTTCACAGGGTGGCTCTCCCATGCACGGGGGTAACCTCTCACTTGACTCGAACTGAATTTCATTTGGAGTAACTCTATGACGACATCGGCTGGGGGCACTGGCCCACGGGAGTCTACTACCATCTGAGGCTTATCCTTCCGTAATGCGCGCGGTGGAAAAGTACTCACACGTTAAGGCAATCAATTTGGGCAACTACGTTTCTGCATTCTCTTTTCTGCGTAGCATTTACCTTCTGTGTAACTTCGCTATATTGGAAATATTGGCACTATGGGCTATGTTGGCCATATTGACGATATTTTTTTCTTTCCATCCTCTGGAACCCCCCCCGCTTGAGTGCACGGTGAACGCAAGGGAAAAAACGGCGTGAATTTTTTAGATGGACTACTGAATTTTTTTAAATAAAAAAGGAGCCTTCAATGACGTGTGACTCGCCCTGGTGGAACCAAATAAAATTGGTTGCTTTACTTCATGTCACCATTTAAAATAAGCTTTCCCCCGTTGCAATTTCAAATTAGCGCAGTCATTTTTGCAAAAACGGCAACAGAAAAAAAAAAAGGAAAAAAGAGGAAAAAAAGAGTTACCCAGCTCCTGGGTGTCATTTTTTTTTCTAACTCAGAGTGCATTTATTCGTCGTTCGGAAAGCAGCGCAAAATGGTTAAAATGGTCCACTTGCGTATCATTCGTGGTGGACATTTTGCCAAGCGTCGCCACTCCATACCACACCACATTTTGTTCTTTTTTGTGGGGGTAAGCTTGTCATTCTTTTCCCTGCTAAACAGCCATCTCCTCCTCTCCCCTACTTTATGCATCACCATTCCATATATGCGCTTTGCGCAGTTGAACGGAAGACATCCTTATCGCACTTACAAACGAGCTGGTTAATCGCACGTATAAAACCCTTCTTAAACGCAAAGGCGCGAAGACGTGTATGAGAGAATTTAACAAAAAAGCATTTTGGAGCCTTTATTTATATAAAGTTTTCTTTTATGCCCTCTGCGTCTGCATGCCCAGCGAGATATGTTAGAAACATACGCTAGTTCCTGGGCTTTGAAAACACAGGCAAAGGTAAGAGTTACAAAAAAATTAAAAAATGAAAGAATGGGGAAATAATAAAAAAAAAGGAACCATAGATATGCAATTTAGAAGAATACAACGATGGAATATCAACAGAATGATATACACATTAATTATAAAAAAAAAAAATCAATACTTTTATATACATGTAATATATATAACGTGAAAATATTAACTGCTTAACGTTAGAGCAAAAAAAAAGGAGAAAAAAATCCGCATGTGGCGGAGCGTCGATTTAATTATACTATATATATATGTGTAGGTAGGGGGCCCCTTTTTTTCTTTTTTTTTTTCGTTACGGTGGATTTTCGCGCGTTGGGTGACCTCGCGCTGCCGACACTCAGTAGGATGTGTTGTAGGCCTGCAAATCGAGGGAGTGGATAATCTGCCTCTGAATTTCGAGGGACTGGGTTGACGGCAGAACGTTGTTTAAAATCTCCATACTGAACAATCGAAGGTAAGGAATAAGGGATGAGACACCAATGGAATTCTGGGTGTATTCTATGTGGTACTTAATGGACTGCTCCTTTCTCTTCTTCTCGTTATTTAACACATCTTCAATTTTTACGTTCGTCGAGGAGCTGATGTTTCTGTATATATTAAACAACTTCGGGATGGAATTCATTAAAATGTCATTCAGGCAAATGATGATGGCCGTTTTCAGAAGCTCATAATACTTGTCGTCAATGTTGAGTGTTGGGAAGGAGTCGTTATTCTCACTTGGGATCTACAATGCGAAGAGCGAGGGAAGAATAAGAGGGGGAAAATATAAAGAGTGAGCGCTTTCCTTGCGAGTATATCGGTTCAAACGTACACATTTGGCACCACATCGGGAAATGAAAAAAAAAATGTAAAATATATCATAAAATGTAGAGGGAGGCGATTACGTGGTTGCCACACGCATAAATAAAAGCATACCAGGTTGGTAACCCCCCCCCGGCGGTATGCACAAATGAACGAATCATGCATGTATGGAGCAGCGGATCGAGGGATATACACCTCATGGGAGATGATTATTACCTTTTTCGTTTCGCCCAGGCAATCGTCTCTGTTCGAGTCCACTTGGGTAGGGCCATTATTATTGTTTACATCGGGGGCGTTTTCAAACATGCCATCTGCGAAATCGTTTTGCGTTTCTTGCTTGTTCTTGTGCTGATAGTTGTAGAGCGAGCTGTGTCTGGAATTTTCGGGGCTGGAGTTGTAAAAGTGGGTTAAGTTGTTGGAGTTTATTTGTCCCTGCTCGGACGTGTTGTTCAGGTTTCCCCCCATGAAATTTCCACCGATCAAATTTCCACTGCTTGGGCTGCTGCCGCTCAGGCCGATACCGAGGCCGCCTAGTCCTCCCACCTGTGCCTGCCTGCGAATCTGTTGGATAGCCTCGATGCTCAATTTGTACGCCTCCTTAACACCGCGCCTTATAACTGAGTAAGCCTTCCTATACCCATTAATTTTAATTCGAAAGCACTTGTTCGCTTCGTCATATATGAGCCCTTCGACAAATTTGCATTTGTGTACCTCTTTGTTTATTCGGATGTCTCTTTCCTCAACAGTTTCGTTCAGGAGTCCGCTAAAATTGAAGGACTTAGTCTCCCCATCGAAGTTGTACGTTTTGTATAGGTCTTCTTTTCCATGTTCATAGTTCTCGTCTCCTGGGTAAGCCATATTATTTGAATAAGAAAAGCACAAGTTTTCGTCGATGTTGGTAGATATCAATTTATTTAGCAGCTCTACTTCGGTCAGCGCTTTACTGTTCTGTGCATGCGTGTCGTAGTCGTTATGGGTGACATTTTTTCCGTACGGCTCCTCACGTGTGAACTGTTCGCCGAACGTGGTTGATATTTTGTGTAGATTGTTGTTACCCTCGCCAGCGCCCCTTGCATTTCCGCTTCCGATGCCACTTCCAATGCCGCTGCCGTTGTTTGGGCCGTTTGGGCCATCGTCGCTGTCCAGTCCAGCAAAGCTCACATTTCCCGTCTTGTTCCCATCATCGCTGTTAATGCCAGTTTTTATCAAATTTATGCTTGGACTCACATGGCTGCTAGAACTGTTGCTCTTGCCATTTTTATAATCTTCTGATTTGTTCAAATCACTTTTGCCGTCCTCCCCCTTCACGTAATAATCCTGACTACTGTTAATATTTTCCACTTCGTATATATGTGTTGGGGAATAGTTGGCTGGGTTTCCACCGCTGTTGCTTATGGCGCTATTGCTACAGGACACATTATGTCCGTTTGCTTTCTTCAATTCGCTATTTTTTTTCTCTTTGAGCAATGCCTCTGCTCCGGCTAAGGTTGCCGCAGCTCCTGTGCCTTCGTTTAACAAGTGCATTAAACTCGAATCCGTCATCATGGACATTATCCCATTTTCATTCTTGGATGGGCAGTAATTTCCTCCGAGCCTCTTTTCACCATTGCACTTATTAGTCTTTCCATTCGGGGTCGTTTTATCATCCTCGAAATTGGCAACGTTTTCGTCGTAGCTTACGCCGTTCGTGCTGCTGTTGTTCCTTATCTCCTTCTTACCTCGACTGAAGTTTCCTGAGCAGATTTCACCGCAAGCTCCACTGCAACCTCCGCCGGAAATTGTGCTTCCCCCAATTGCGGTGCACATTCCTGTGCAGACTGCACCACAAACTGCACTGCAACTACTTTTGGTTGCGCACGCGCCACCACTTCCGGCTACGACTCCAGTTTCGTTCGACTTCTTATCCCAAAGGTAGTCATAAATGTTGGAGGTAACGAATCCAAGGTTGTTGTTTCCCTTTTCGCCAAAGGCACCACTTACCATGCCTGTTACAACACCTCGTGGGTCTCCACCGGGAAGGAGATCCTTATCGTTATTACCACTGCCCATGGTACATAAGGACATGGTTTTCTTTTTTAAACTCTCCTCCATAGTGGGAACAGCGGACTCATGTGCAAAATTTCCTTTTTCCTCTTTAAGCAGTCCATTACTGTTGGTATTTTTTACATTATATTTGTAGTTGCTAGACATACTTGAGCTTTTCTGAGGATAGCATTTCCCTTTGTTTGTTTCTAAGATGCGGTTACGAAACTCGGCAGCTAATTTGTATGCTTGGTACACGCCTCTCGTTCGAACTCCAAAAGATTTCCTGAACCCGCAGACACTGACGGTCCAGTAATTTCTTCTTTTGTCAAAGAACATTCCTTGCAGCTTTGGCAAGCTCGCGGCTTGATTTAGAATTTCACTTTTGGGCAATCTCACATTTATGTTGTTGTCAATAAGGCAATCTAGCTTCTCATTGCTTTTGTTAATGGATCTATTCTCCATGTTGGAAGCGTACTTTTCATAATTGCGCAGGCCTCCCCCTCTGCCGTTATGATTATTACTATTGCTATTATTATGGGTCAAGTCCGTGTTCATGGTGGTACTAGTCGTAGTAGTATTACTACCTGCAGTCGCATTATCGGCATTATTTCTAACATATTCTAGCATAGTGGCAAGGTCTGCTCCTGCTACAACTCCTTGGTGTTCCTTCAACAAATTTAGGTGACTACTATTCGCGTTGTTGCCATTCATCACTATGTCACTATTGGAGTCGATGCCATTCCCTCCTAGAAAATTCGAGTCATAATTCGCTTCGTTTTTTATTCCCCTTCCCCTCAAGGTGAAGTTGGTGCTCCTAGTCGCGGTTGCCGTGCCATCCTCCTGATAAGCATTGCTGTGGTTGTTGTTCGTGTCGGAGGTGCTGTTATAATCATATTCATTCGTTAGACTTCCCTTCTTCTGCATCTCCGATCCGGAGTAGTCCATTTTGTAACTTCCATCTTCGTCATTCAAGAGGTGGTCATTACTTCCGTTAAGTAGGTGGCTATTTTCATGGAGGTCAAAATATGTTTTGCTGTCCAGGAGTCTCTTTCGTACAGTACCATTGTTGCTATTTCGGTTTGCATCATTCCGTTCGTGGCTGTTTCTGCCATTTGCACTGTTGATGTTACTTTGGTTGTCATCGTCACTTTCCGTGTTATCGCTCCCTGCAGCAGAATTGTGTGCGTTGTCTCCAATACCATGTTTTCCCTTTCCGATGATTCGTTTGCTACCCTTTCTCCTCTTCCTCGTCTTCTCATTTTCATTATCAATACAATTGCCCTGACTCATGTGGTTAAAAAATTCGCTATTCTGCATAAACAGCAAGTCGCCTTTCGCATTGCCCTTCCGATCGGTTAGATTTGGTGCGTACTTATGGGCGTGAAGCAGCGCCGCATCATTGTTCCCCTTTATGTCGTTCCCATTCTGAGAAGAGTGAAGAACCTCATCGTTGGATAACTCCAGCTTTATTAACTTCCCTGGGTCTGTATAGGGCAGATTGTTACTGTCACTTCCGCTGCTCATCATGATGAATTTTCTTTTCTCAGCCATCTTTCCTCCATTTAGAAAATGCTGCCTATAAACTGAATCCTCCTCCTCAGCATCGTCATAATGTTCAATGCCCGTATTGCCACTACCACTGTTCTTTTCCTTTCGCATGGAAACCAGCATATCACTTATCTTACTGAGGTAGTTACTATTCACCTGGGTATAGTCCCCGAAATTTAGGTGGCCCTTATCTTTACCATAATAATCTACACTTTTCCTTTGGTTGGCTTGAATCAGATCTGCCCCGGCACCACCTTCATCGTCATCTTCATCCTCCTCATTGTTATCTTCATTCAGGTGATTCTCACTGGTGGTGTTGTCAAATTCAAAATTGTTAATGAAGTCTCGAATGGACTCAGAAAAATCCTCCTTATTTTCGTCAAAGTTGTTTGATTTTTTAATTTGAAGAAAATACTCACAGCATTTTTTATAGGACAGAATAACATCGTTATTATAGTCACATGGATTGAAGAAGCTGATTCGAAGGTTTTTATTTATGTCTTTAAAGAACACAACCCACTTTTTCATTTTCTCTTCCCAAATTATTCCTTTTACCCAGGGTTTCAAGTTGTAGGCTACCCTGGTCTGCTCGCAGGTGTTACTGGTTGGTAATTTCTTACTGTAGTCGAAGTAGTTCAATTCTTTGAAGGTGTCGTCTAGCTGGGCGTGGTTCCTTTCGTCCTGGACAAAGTCGGCAATGTTGTGAGGGCCTTGGTTGGCGTCCGCTTTGGTGGTGCCATCCGTTTGGTTATCTTCACCTGTCTGTTTGTTACCATCCGTTTCGCCATTTTCATCTGTCTGCTTGTTGACGTCCATCTGGTTATTCGCCTCCACTTGGCTATTAGCCTCCGTCTGCTCCTCCGCTCCAGTTTGGCCCTCCCCATCACCGCGATCAGCACCACCGTCAAGCTGTTCGCCACCCTTTTCTGCATGTTCTGCTGCGTCGTTTTCCTCTCCCTTTCGTTTATTCAAATACTCCACGGCATCCTGGAACGCCCTGCATATTCCCCCTTCGAATGAGTACCTCTTCCTTTCCTCATCTTTGTAGTTCACCACAAAGCAGAGGGTTTGCAGGTCATACGAAATTTCTTCAATTGGAGGGAACTTCTTCAATTCAGTGCTTAAGTAAAAAGAAAATGAATTCATTCTCATCTTTGAGCAGTAGTTATAACCAATTTCTACGCCCTCTTTGTTCTTTACGTAGACATGCTTTGTAATTTCGTTTCCGCTTTCGTCCCATAATTTGCATACCCACATATTTCTTTGTTCGTTCCACTGTATGCCTTTTTTCCATGGGTAAAACATGAGAGCAATTTCGTTACATTCGATGTTTTGCTTTGTTTTTTCTTCCTCCACTTGGTCTGTTCTTTTTTCCTCCTCTTGGTTTGTTTTTTCTTCCTCCAGTTGGTTTCTTTCCGTTGAGTTATCCTCCTTCTGCGTTGTTGTTATGGCATCCTTTGGCGTAATGTTGTTCTCTTCATTTTGGTCGGTTAAATTTTCCACATTTTTCTCTGGGCATTCCCCTTCCGTCTTTTGTGTATCCTGATCTGGGGAGTTTTCTCCATCCGATTTTCCCTCCTTCTGAATAACTACGTTTGCCTCTTCGTCACTGCTTGGCTTATTCGTTACGACGTCTCCATTCCTGCTCGTATGATAAGTAGCAATATCATCCGGAGAAACGTGCACGTGGTTTTCACTTTCGAAATGATTTAGAGGAGTGGTATCGTCCCCCCGTTCCGCGTCACCATTCATCGCATCATCGTCTTGTTCGTCCTTCACTGTGATATAATCGTCATAATTGATAGACTCTTCCAAGTTCCTTTTGATTAAACTTTGCAGTTCATTCATGGTGGAAGCACCATAACTGCTCTGTTCATTTTCCCTGTTCGCATTCGTTACGTTTTCAGTCGCTTTATCCCCCACAGAGGCAGCACTCATATTCAGTAAAGTGTTAATTCGTTTAATAATTTTCTCATGATTTTCAGCATTATTATAATTACTATTACTATTGTTATTGCTATTATTATTATTATTCTTGTTCATCATTTTTTTTATCATTCTGTTAAAGTGGAGCAGATTTTCGTAATTTAAATGTGGATTCATTTTGTGCTTTTTTCCTACTTCATTTTGGAAATTCTCCTCATCATTGTTGGCACGTCCTCGTGCTTCTGTTTCTCTGTCTCTGTGGAAAAATTGGCCAAAGGCGTGGTTTTCCTCCCCCCGGTTGCTAAGCTCGTTTTCGTCGCTGTGGCTTCCCTCCTCTCCGGTATCCTCACCATAGTGTCGTGATTCACTTGACACATGTTTGTCTTCCCTCGGTTGGTCACTTTCGTCCAAATTTATGGAGGAGTCTAATCCTCCACCCTTTCCGTTGTTCAATTTTAAGAAGGCCTCAAGAATTTGCGGATTCGTTATGCCTTCACTGGTACTCCCTTGAAAGGGATTATTCTTCTTACTACTACTACATGCGTTATTCACGTTGTGGCTATTATTGCTATAGTCGACATTATTGTTTATCGCTTCATACTCCTGGTTTTTCATTAGATGGTTCCATTTGACTACTCCTACTGTCCTTTTTTCATTTTCCTCCTCATCCAACGTATGATTGACCGTGTTGCTATCACTGTCGATGGATTTCTTATTCAATTTTCCATGTTTAAGTACGTTGTTCAAAAGGTGATAAGAATTTTGGTCTTCCTCGTTTATAAGGCTCGTGTTCAGAAGGTGCAATATCTTGGCATTGTTGTCATCACTGTGTTTTTTCATACTACTCAAGTAGGCCAAACTTGATTGTGCGTTGCTGTTTTTGCCTCGTATATTACTACAACTACTACTATTGTTTGTAAGAATATTTTTATGACTGTCAAAAACGTTTCCAATAATTTCATCGTCCTCTACGAGGGGAAAACTGGAGGCATTCACTGCTGCGTAACTTGATTCGTTGTACAAGTCGGGCTTGAAATGAGTACTACTGCTATCATTCCCACTGTTGTTGTTACTTGCTCCATATGCACGGGGGGCTAAGCCTTTGAGACCCTCCAATAAATCATTATCCTCATCATTTTCAATCGCGCTGTTCGCGGAGTTTATCTGCTTTGCGGCACTGTTAAGGTAATGAAAATCGTTACTCAAAAACGATGTTTCATTTTTGTAAAAACTGTTATATTCATTTGGGTGAGTGTTTTTGTCCGAACGAGGATTCCCTACATCCGAATCTGGTAGTCCCACTTTCTGCTTCTTTTCAGAAAGGTATTCACTGTACGTGTTATTACTGTACTCTCCTCCAACGAAATGTTTACTACCCCCGTTGTATCTATCATTTTCTGGATGAGAAATTAGCCCATTCATTTCTTCACTGTCAATGGGGGTCGTTAATAGCTTGTTCGCTAGTTTAAACAGTTTATTTGTTTTTTCTTTACGTTGTGCGAAGGACGAAGAAACAACGCCACCTTGTTCGCTCAGTTCATTTTCTAACCCAATTAGTCCTTTCATACTCTCGCCTTTGAACATTTTTGCAATTTGGCCGGCGCTGGCACTCTGGCTGACACTGTGGCTGGCACTCTGGCTGCCATCCTGGTTGACATTTTTACACATTTCGTCCTGATTGCAGACGGTCAACTTGTTGATGCACTGAACGGCCATTTCGTACGCGTTATTGTATCCATAAATGTCTACTGGGAATTTGTTGACAAGGACCTTGTTGTCGTAGTCATACGTGACTACCCACTCCTTTTGTATGGAGTCGTATGACAGATACTTGAAGATCAGTTTGTTTTTCCCTTGGATATCTGAAGAGAGGTGGAGAGATAAGGAGAGAAATGTGTAACCATATAAGGGACGTCACGCATACATAACGGGGGTGCAACTACAGGCTGGTACAACTACAGGCTGATGCAACTACACACTGGTGCAACAACATGCTCGCACAACAGAGTGGCGGGGGGCCCACTTCGTGTACCTTTAAATCCATTTGGTATTTGCGAATTGATGTTCAGAAGATTCAGGTGGGACGTTTTCGATTCGCCTTGCTGCTTCTTCAAGTGACCCAAATTGGCCGTTTCGAAATTTTTCCTGTGTTGTATGGCTAGTCTCCTGGCCTCCTCGAACCCATACTTATAAACAGGAAAGTATCTATTGATGCACCTTCCATTAATACAAATGCCGGATAGCCATCTGTTCTGTGACTTGTCAAATCGAACACCAACTACGTGAGGTAATTTTTCTGCCATTTTGGCATAATTATTCTCATTATTATTGGATAAATGCTTGGCCCGATTACAATTCGTTTTGCTCGAAGCATTTGCACGGGGGTTGTAGCTCTTCCCTTTATCTCCCCTAAGTGAGTTGTTACTTCCATTATGCTCCATTTTTATTTCATTTTTTATGTTCAAAATTTCTTCGTTTTGCGCCCGGTGGTTTCTTATTTTAATTCTTTTTTCATTGTCACTTGAATCTTTTAAGTTGTTACTATCATCAAAGAAGTCATTTTTTTTATTCTCATGCGATATGAGCGCATTTACACTGAGGTCATTCATCATTGGGTTGTTTCCCACCCTTTGGTTGTGGTTATACATGTCATGATATTTTCTCTGCTCCTTTGTTTTACTCCTCCCTGACGTTTCAAATCCGTCTGACGCTTCATCTCCTTTTAGAAAACTCATTTCACCTTTGGACTCTTCGCTGTTTAAGTCATTACTGTAATCGCTGTTATAATACAACGAATTCATAGTTTTCTTTCTTCTCGCTCTGACTGGTCTTTTACTTAAATCTTTCTTCATTTTTTTCTTTTTTTTTTTTATTTCTTCCCTGGTTTGCTTATCTAACGGTTAGTTCGAGTCTTCTCTCTAGCGATGTATCAAAGGCGTTGTCTAATGATCTAGTGATTCACCGCCCTACGGATTCTCCACTTCGTCGATTTATGTAAACGTCATAATATAGAAGCTGACGCAGGGAAACCAAGAACGTGGATGGTCGTGCTGTGTCTAGCTGTGCGGTTATCTATGGGTCTGTCTAGGGCGGGTTGCCTTTGCTCCCGTCTGCGTCTCCACGAACGTGTCTTTCCACGTATATGTGTATGTAGGAAAAAAACGCAGGGAATTACGCGCAGGCAGAGCAATTCGGCCTCCGGAGTTACAAAAAAGATTCAAGAATTACGAAACAGATGGTGATATATGCAGAAGAATAGGAAGAAAAAATTACATAAATGCGATAAAAAAACAAAAAAAAAAAAAGACTTAAATTAAACACTATTACTACTGCGGCATTATATATATACAAATGTATGTACTTATGCACGATGGGCAATAGTTTTTTGAAAGACTATAAAAAAGACTGCAAAAAAAAAAAAAAAAAAGACCAAAGAAATAGGGGTATGTGGGAGGCGCTATAAAAACGAACTATGTGAGGAACCACAAAAAGATCTAGAAAAGGAGGACTGAAAAAGGGAACTACAAAAAGCTCAAAAACAAGTGAAAAAGGAGGTACAAAAAGGACTACAAAAAAGACTACAAAAAGAACCCTAAAAGGAACTATAAACAAACTGTAAAAAAAACTTACATATGAATTATAAAAAACGATAAAAAGGACTATAAAAAATACTATAAAAAAAAAAATAAAAAAAGTTATAAAGGGGACAATAAAAAAAAGTTAGAAAAAGAACAATAAAAAAATAGGAAAAAATTGAAAAAAAAGCCGTAAAAAGGTGATAAAAATATATATATAAAAACTGCTCTTAAAATTGTATAGAATGGGTTACAAAAATATGAAACATGTAGTAAAATAATACCTCTGCCAATGAATTTATTAAATAAAGAGAAAAAAAAGAGGAAAACATACGGACGCAAAAAATAAAAAATGTTGTAAAAATATTTGTACGATGTATCCACATATGCTGTAGGCATATATATATATGCGCACCGGGGGTGGCAAATAAGGACGCATATATATAAACCAACATGTACATAACCGAGAGGGCGCAATGGAACAAATGTAGATGAAAATAAATTACAATTCTTGCTGTACTAGATTATTCTACATGTCATATTATATACCGTGTGACGTATTATGCCATGCACCGTATAGTATGCGCTAAGCGATAAATTTAAACGAGAAACGCTAAGTGTTATGCATGGAAACGTTCAATCAACGAGGGCTTAACTACATGTACATAGATTATGCCCACATTGCACTGGCGTATGCTTAGGTTATATGCCTACATCTGATCGCATCTGCATCTGTATAGTGCAGGTATATGTATATATACGCGAACAGGCAAATAGGAAAATGCGCAAACACGTTTGTGTTTCTCTAGGGACACAAATTTCATTTCGTGAATCCTCCTCGTGGTCTGTATTAAACGCTACTCCAAATGTAAAATTGGGTAAAGCGACGGTAAAAAATAGGTGAAAAAAAAAGGATAAGGAAAAAAAAGGGTAAAAGAAATGCAAATAAAACGCAAAAAAAAGGGGATAAAAAAATGGGTAAATAAATATGCAAAAAGGAGATAAAAAAAAACAGGTAGAAGTAAATAAAAGAGTTCAATCCAATTCAGTTCACTTTATCTTAGTTTAGTTTACATAAAGTAGCAAAAAAAGAATGTATACATAATATATATTATATATATACACGAATAATAGTCGCGAATGGAATATAAAATGATAAGTAAAATTGTATCTTTAATACATGCCACATTCATAAGAATAAAATGAGATATAAAATAATTCTCTAAAATTTAAAAAGGTAATAAATAAATAATACATCTAAAAAAAAAGCTCGATTTAATTAATATTACTTTTTTTTTTAATTAATTTTTTCAAATTTAGAATGAATTTTTTTTAATTTAATAAAATGAAAAAATGAGCAAAGCAATTTTAAATGTATAGAATAGAATTTTTTTTATAATTAATCTAAAAAATCTATTACATGTATAAACGGGACAACAACTATTTCCTCTTCATCTCGCATGAAGTTAGTGCAGTATACCATTCGTTTCCTTCAATGGCAGTGTAGGTGTTGCAATGGTACGATATACATATAGGTATGGGTAAAGTGTCGGCATAGGGATATGCAAGGAGTAGGTAAAGAATAAGATGCGAATATGTATACAATTTAATGCAAGGTATACAGTGCAAGGCAGTATTATAATGTAATAAGTTATACGGCAACCACGTGGTGCAGAGGGTAACCGTCTCAAGCGTATATACGCAAACGCTTATGCGCATATGTTACCACGTACGGCAGCAACGCCGTACATACAAGGGCGGGGGAGATTCGTCATGCAATGTAACCACGTATGGTAGAAAGGCATATACATCTATATATATAAATATATATAAAAATACATATATATACATATTTATTCATATATACATCCATACGCACCTACTTATGTGCCCATATTGCCCCTTATTTACAGGACCACGCGTGAGTGTACAAGATATACATGCAGTTTTTGCTTACAATGTTGGGTATGTTTTGTACAGCTTATTTCGCGGCATGTATTTTTATACATATATAAATACACAAAAAAAAAGGGGAGAAGAAAAAAAAAAAGTAACGCGTTGCTTGTACGGTATTTTATACAACACTGTGTTGTTTTATATATTCATTTGTTTATTTTTGTATAACGCGTCATATAGATGCGAACGTGGCGAGCGGTGGGTGAAGAAATTAAAAAAAACGATGGAAACAACAACGCATAGTGTTGTAAACGTACATGTATCCCTACTTTATATGTATATGTTTATGCAGACGTGCAATATGCGCACTTTATATATGTACGTATGTAACTACAAAGCGGTAAGTGCACAGAGGGTGTACGCAAAAAAAAAAAAAAAAGTCTTAATCTTAAATGAACGATAATTTGGACACTTAAAACTGGTGCGAAGAATAACGTATATATACGTACAGGAAAAGAGAAACAAATAAATGAAAAAGCAAAGAAATAAACGGAAAACAAGTAAAGAAACAAACGAACAAATGATGCATAAATGCAATACATACATAATAGCATATATGACATACATAACATATATTTATAATATATGCATACAATACATGCGCATTCTTCTGAATCTCCCGCTTAAATGAATTTTTCAAATTTTCCTCTTTTTAATACTCTTGCGAACATATTAAAAAAAAAAATAAATAAAATAAAAGTATATAAAATAAATAAAAATAAAGTAAAATACACTTAATTTACTTTGCTTTAATTTGTTTAATTCGTTTTAATTTAGCAAAAAGGGATTTCCCCTTTTTTTTTTCTTTTTTCGTTTATTTTCTCTTTTTTTACAAAACATGAATTTATAAGATAAATTTTTAAAGTGAAGAAATTAACTGAGAGTATATGTAATGCCACAAATGATGCATTCAGTTGAGCATATACACACGAGTACACATACGTGTCGATTGTGCGTATGTATCAATATGAAGATGTATACACAACACGTATGGGCTTCACACTCATAGATGGATTTAATCTGCCGGTTCAATTTATCCTGTGGACAACGTAGGCATAGGTAATCCTCAATTCACCTCGGTGTGAGGAGCGCGAATGGCTTTACCCACGTGTAGGTTATGTATATATGCACAAATTCATACAGGTGTATATTCGTCTATGTACAAATTTATAAATTCAAGAATCCACAGTTGTACTCTTTTTGTATGTGCGTGCCATATGCATACACGCTGTACATCTGCACACCGAGATGAATAAAAAAAAAGAAAAAAAAAAAGACCATGGGTTGCACGCCGCATGTACCCGTTTATACGCAGGGACATATGAGCATGGGCATGTTCACCACTACAGTGCGGTAATAATGAAACAAAACATGCACTACGAGTTGTATACTAGCCCAATTCATTAGCACATATGTTGTACATATTGTGCATGAAATGAGATATACTTCCACATGCACAGACGCGTTTGCGCTCATTTGTATGCACATGGCATCGAACACGTCGCCACTTGCGGTTTGGTAAACGCTTCCACGCTTAACGTAACATAGAATGAAAGTGGCCTTGAGATCTGCTGCTACATGTACTGCGTGAAGGAGGAGATACACATACACAAACGAGTGACAAGAAAAGGCGGTGTGCGAAAAAGTGTAGGTGTGGCATATGCTTATAGAAACTATTAGTACATGTATGCGAAGCATCAGAGCTGATGGTAGAGGAGGCGGGGACGCTTCGGGTACGTGTACTAATGTAAGCACATACTACTAATGCGCAAGAATGTCACTACACGCTATGCAGTTACGCGTTGATGCGAGAACGCATATGTATAGGCGGCTGCTCATATGTAGCAAAGGTTGCCTTACCGTATACACAGAGGTACGTACGTGCGAATACCTATGCAGGTACATGTACTTGTATGTACGCACGTGTACATGTTCTCACGCGTAGGCGCATTTGCGTATATCACATATCGATGCTTGTGAGGAAGTTACGGATAAGCATATGCGTAGAAACCTGAACAAGTAAGTATGAAAGGAAAGCACAAGGGTTTTCAAAAAAAAGAAAAGAAAAAAAAAGAACATGTACAGATGTTCACGGTATGGTACTCTTACATATGCTTTGTATACATAAGCCACGAAGGCACGGGCGAACGTAAGAGCGAGCGTAAACACATACGTTTTATCTACGGTCGCGTATACAACGTGCAGAATTTTTTTTTTTTTGCAATAAATGATCTCTTCGGTACGCGTATTAAATCAAAGATACAGTAAATTGGTGAGAGTTCATTTATGCCGTTCAGTCGTGCACAATGCTCTTTTTTATC